GGTTTTCCAGCTTTTGCAATCTGCTTTCGACATCATCCAGTCAGATTTATTCCGTCTCAAACTTGTTCTAAACACCGGCAAAACCAAAGGGATGATTTTTTTCAAACAGGAAGTCGGTTCCAGCAGTTCTTCCTCTGATTTTATCCTCAAATGGTGTCCTTATTGAGCTTGTTGATTCCTATAAATATTTGTATGTCTTGGTCGACTCACATCTCTCTTTTAAGCTCCATGTGGAAAACCTAGTAAGGAAAGTGAAAGTTAAACTGGGTTTCTTTTTCAGAAACAGATCCTGTCTAACTATGAATGCTAGGAAACACCTTGTAACTGTGACTTTCCTTCCCTCCACTGACTATGGTGACATTATTTACATGAACGCTACAAGCACCCTGCAGATGTTGGATGCTGTCTATCATGGTGCGCTAAGTTTCATAACAGGCTGTAACTACCGTACCCACCACTGCACTATTCACTGGTTAACTGGACATCATTAACTTCACGCAGACTCTCTCACTGGTTCATTTTCATCTTTAAATCACTTCTTGGTCTGCTGCCTTCATACATCTCCTCCTACATGTCTCTGTGTGAGTGCAGCTACAGCGTGCGCTCTCAGGACATTATTACCTGCAGTGTTCCCCCAGTGCGAACTGAACTTGGCAAAAGGATCTTCTCCTACTCCGCTCCTGTTTCCTGGAATATCTTGCAAAAAGATCTGAAGTTCTCAAACTTGACCTCTCTAAGTGGCTTCAAACATCTGCTAAGTTCCTGGCAAAAATCAGTGCAGACTGTTTTTAGTTTTCTACACCGGCCTACATCCTAGCTGGGGTTTTTTTTGTTTGTTTGTTTGTTTTTTGTTACGTTTTCTTTTAAATACCATTTTATTTTCACTTGTTAAAAAAAAATCTCAATTTGTACGCATCCTTTATGTTTTTCTATTGTTGTCTTTGTTGTCCACTGTTGTTAAAATCAGGTCTCTTTTGTAAATGAGTCCCCGAGACTCATTGATAGGATTAACCTGTATAAATAAAGGTTGAATGAATGAATAATATATATATACATACATACATATATATATATATATACATACATATATACATATATATATTTAGTTGGATTATATGAAATATAGTTGAGGCCTTAACAGTTTCAGTTTTGAAGCATCAGACTCCTCTGTTCTCAGAGGAGTCTGATGTTGCTCTTTTGTTGCTTCAACAACAATCTGATTTTAAAAATCTTGACTAATTAAAGAGTTTTCAAACTTTTCCCCGCATAATAAATCAGATAAAGTGTGCCACTTTTGAAGCTGGACACTGTAGCTCATCTTTCAGATTAAAAGCTTGTTTCTTTTGTAGTCCGTGTGTTTCATTGATCCTAGTGCAACTGCAGAAATAATGTGGACCCAGTAAACTTTGGTTTGCCATTTAAATGTGTCACCTTGTACCGTTGAGTCTAATGAGCTCTATCTGTGTCTCCTCAGTTCAAGTATGTGGCAGTGAAGTGGTGAAAGGCTGACCATGGGGGACTGGAACCTGCTGGGCAGCATCCTAGAAGAGGTCCACATCCATTCCACCATCGTGGGGAAGATCTGGCTCACCATCCTCTTCATCTTCCGCATGCTGATCCTGGGAGCAGCTGCAGAGGACGTCTGGGATGACGAGCAGTCAGAGTTTGTCTGCAACACCGACCAGCCGGGTTGCAAGACCGTCTGCTACGACCGAGCCTTCCCCATCTCGCTCATTCGCTTCTGGGTGCTGCAGGTCATCTTCGTGTCTGCACCCTCGCTGGTCTACATGGGCCACGCGCTCTACTGCATCCGAACGCTGGAGAAGGAGCGTCACCGGCGGCGGATCCAGCTGAAGGAGGAGCTAGACGATTCAGAGCAGGCGTTGGAGGAGCATAAACGCGTGGAGAGAGAGCTGAGGAGACTGGAGGAGCAGAAGAAAGTGAAGAAAGCTCCTCTCAGAGGCTCCCTGCTGAGAACGTACATCATCCATATCCTTACTCGCTCTGTGGTGGAGGTCTCCTTCATCCTGGGCCAGTGCGTCCTGTATGGAGTCCACCTGGAGCCGCTGTATAAATGCGAGAGGCTGCCCTGCCCCAACAGTGTGGACTGCTACATCTCCAGGCCCACAGAGAAAACCATCTTCATGATCTTCATGATCATCATCGCCGGGGTGTCACTTTTCCTGAACATTCTGGAGATACTCCACCTGGGTGTGCGCAAAATCAAACAGACTCTGTATGGAGACAGGTACATGGAGGACGACAGCTTGATCTACAGGTCCAAGAAGAAGTCCTCCTTGCCGCAGCTCTGTGTGATGAGCAACGTTTCCCCTCACAACGGACCTTTGACTCAGACCTTCAAAGTGATTCAGGAGGCGGACATGAAACCTCCTTACTACAGTGGTGGGCTTAAAGTCGGCCACGAGCCAGTGAGGCACAACAGCTTGGCTCATCTGGGCCAGACCGGGTACATCTGCCCACAAGCAAGGATACCATTCAGGTCTGAGGACAGCTGTGTGACCCAAATCTTCCGAACCAGAGAGAATCCAGAGGTCCACACAGTCATGATGGACCACCATCCAGGCTGGAGTTCTGCCATGTCCACTGTAGAGGAGGACATAGCAAGCCAAGGAGAACCCCACGAGGAGCATTCCCAGCCAGGGCATTTGGACACACTGTTGCCTGGCAGCACCTTAAGACCCGGAGCAATCAGGGACCCCCTTAAAGACAACAGACGAGAGTCCACAATCAGCCAGTTCCAAAACCCCAACCCCAGGAGGACCAGTTTCATGACCAGGCCTCCATCCGAGAGCTTGTCATCCATGACTGGCTCCACCAGCCCCTCCTTACACAGCTCAGAGGAGTCAGATGAGCTCTGCTCACTGCAGGGAGACATGCCCATGATGCCGCCCGCCGGAGGCCGAAGGATGTCCATGGTAGGTACAGATCCTGGTCCTGAACCACAGGAGGTGATGCTGGATCATCTGAGAGCACTTTATCCTGCAGCAGAGCTTTAATCAGGGCTGGAAAATAAAATTTTTAATCGTTTAGGCATAAATACAACAAACAGTTACAGTCAGTCTGATGATGACTCACGCAAACGGTGATGGAGTCGTTTTCTGTCTGCTACATTCAGAACTGTTGGAGCTGCAGAGTGAAGAGGAAAATAAGCTGCTTTTACTAAAAAAGAGAGTTGTGCTTTCTGTTCATCACTGTTCTCAGTGAGACCAAATCAGTCTGAACTTCACTGTCAGCTCTGAACAGACACATCACAACATGAGACCTATAGGGTCTCGGTAGGTTAGGTGAGGACATTAAACTGCTCACCTCTGTGGGGTTTGTGTCATTCACACAAATTCTCCTTCAGGTTCGATCTCACTGGGCTGTGACTATCAGAGACTACTTGGTGACTCGAACTTGACCCAGTATTGTGATAAATTATGCAAACAATCTGTTGCAACAATCACAGCTCGCAAAACTGCGTTCTTGGCCGTGCACATTATTTCATGAAACTCCACCCACATCAACAAACTTTATACCCACTGTGACAGCATCCCAGGCAGATTTAGATCTGATTTTAAATAATTACTTATCAATGTGGGTTTTTAATGTGGATATTCTATAACCTCAGATGTTTAATATCAGAAGAGCTCTCTGCAGGTGTCAAAATACAGCTATAGCACTCGAGACGGTGTGGAAACGCCCAAGATGAAATCCAGAAGGGTTCAAGACACTTTAGAAAGCTAAAAAAAAATAAGCTGGAAATTTAATCAGCCCTGCAAAATGTGTCTCACTGATCGCTTGACAATTACAGCAAAATCGCAACATTATTTTCTCACGATACTGAGTCAAATTTGAGTCTCCAACCAGTCCCTAACAGTTGAGATATACTGGATCCTTCAATATTCAGCTCAACCTCTTCAAACTACAACACTGAGTAAAACAAGCTCAGATTTATTCTCGATTGACTCGTCCCTCAGTCTTTAAGCAGGGTCCCATGCAGAACTGGTCCAGGACAGTAAAACACTGTAGATAAGGAGGCTGAACAGTCATCAGGTGTGAGATAACACACCTGTAGCATCACACTGCAATTCCTCCATTATGGTTTGTCTGCAAAAACATCTTATATTAGGTTTTAGAGTAACATTAAAACAGATCCTGATATAGACAACAGTTCAAAACAAAAACATCTGTTCTCTGAGCTCCTGCTTGACAATCAGAAAACATGGAGAGGACTTCCACGAATAGTTATAACATTTATCTGTGATCCCAAAGCACTTTTGCCGGTCCTATTCATCTCCATTAATTTTAAATTTATATTTCTTTAAGGGGAAAGAGGCTGTTAAAAAGCAATTTTCACAGAATATAAACTAATAAATCTGCTCATGAGGTGTTAAAATCAGTCATATAATCTGTTTGTCTCTTCCAGAGCATGTTCCTGGATATCTCCTCCATCATGAAGAAGTGAGGCGTTGGGTCCTTCGGCAGCTCGGACACAAACAGAGAAACTGTATCAGTGATACTTCGATTCTCCGAGCGAGTCACATGGGGTCAGGATCAATCAGGCAGCCAGGATCAATCGGGCAGCCATGATGAGGCAGTCCACTCTCAGCCGAGTTTCGAAGCACCTTACAGCGGCTGCACGAGCCTTTCAATGCCAAACGGACGGTTTTACGAAACCAGAGACACAAAGCTGTGAAAATTTTAAAGACTATGCAAATCTGACTCAGATTTCAGTCTCTGTAAAGCTGTTTTTATGAGAATCTTGCTGTTTTATTCAGATTAAAAACACTTCTTTACAAAACAACCAACCTGAATATATTTAACAGAACACCAGCGACACACTGTAAAGTCCTCATGCTTTATTTCTCAACAAAAACTGTTTTTTTTTCTTCCCCAGAATGTTTTCTTATCAAATAAACAGGATGTGACATGTTGCTCAGTTTTTACAAAACCCAGAAAAAAATTCCATTCAAAGATTTTAAAAAAGAAAGAAAAGCTAAAACTACAGATAACAATCATCTTTCAGTTCCACAAAACATGTAAAAAATACTAAAAACCTGCAAATACAAAGAAGTTTAGAAGTTAGAAAGACAAGAGTCTGTTACACAGGAAGAATGCTGAGGTTTGTAGGTTAGTCAGTTCTGAAAGGTCCGTTCAGCTGCAGAATTCAAACCTGATACTCAGAACATCAGTCAGTTGTTTTAATCTGTCGTCGTGTCTCTGATGATCATTGTGTCCTGTTCTAATTTACCTGAAAGATCTAGTTTCATCAAAGGATCTGGGCTCCGGAGCTACAGGATGACCGGAAGTGATTTGAATCACTGACTTGTTCAGTGAGTCAAATCACCGACTCATTCAGTGAACCGAATCCCCGACTCATTCAGTGAGCCGAATCACCAACTCTTTCAGTGAGCCAAATCACCAACTCTTTCAGTGAACCGAATCACCGACTCATTCAGTGAGCTGAATGATTGACTCATTCAGTGAACTGAATCACCGACTCATTCAGTGAACTGAATCACCGACTCATTCAGTGAACTGAATCATCGACTCTTTCAGTGAATTGAATCACCGACTCATTCAGTGAACTGAATCACCGACTCATTCAGTGAGCTGAATCCCCGACTCATTCAGTGAACTGAATCACTGACTCATTCAGTGAATTGAATCACCAACTCATTCAGTCAGTAATCTGAGGCGTATTCAGTCATGTGACAGTCGGGCGACGAAATTCTTTCAGTCATGACATGGCTGGTTTACTCAAGTAATGACGTCATGTAATGTGGCTTCTTTAATCATGTGATGAAGTCATGTGACACTGACCGTTCGATGATGAGACACGGGGTCAATATGGCCGTCTTTTGTGATTTTAACTCTGTTCTGTGACTTTGTCTTTTTTTAGACGAATCAGAGCCCAGCAGAAAACCATCAGAGTCTGGTTTTACATTGATCTTTCAAATCATTTTTTTTTAACGATGCATAGCATCAATTTGGTCCCAAAAGCAAAAAATACAGATCAAATAAACAAAAGGTGATTTTCTTTGACTTCTTATTGCTTTAAAAGTGTTAAGCCTTAAATAAGCTCAACATATCAATCAAATAAATACAATTCTTATTTCTGTAAAGCCAAAACCTGATCCAAGACTGTTACAGATTTATAAACTGTATATATGAGTGGGTTTCGTTTCTCATCCCTTTTATGTGTATTTTTAGCAGATATTATGTTGTCATTAAGTGTTTAGATTGCATTTTAATGATTATTCATGTATGTGACAGTAGGATCTCTCTGTGTTTACAGGGGGTGTGCTTTGGTTGTTAGAGCTGCAGCATCATTCCCAGTCGATCACATCGCTGCTTACATCACTCAGCAGTTGGCCTAAAATAACCTGGAAGGCAGAAACGTTAGCTGCACCTTGAAGATTTTCATTTGTTCTCACTGAACACGTGAAAACAGCTTTTAGACTGAAATGTTAGGCTTTTAAAAAATAAAAAATAAACCACACACATTAAACCACTAAACTGTAAACATCCTCACAGCCACAGAACATTAAAACTCATTAACAAAAGCTTATTTTCATAAAGTTGTCAACAACAATGATGCAACATCAACGAATAATGTCCATAAAAATCAAAGTTTTTTTGACTCTCGATTCAACGAGAGTCAGAATAAATAAAAACGAGCTTAAGAGCTCGTCCGTTAACGATCTCGTTCGTCTCAGATCTCCGCTGATATCTGAGCTAATGAAGGCGTCCACGGTGACCTTGTGACCCCGCGGCGGGCATCAGGGACACATTGCAGCGTGGATCTGACAGAACAGCAGGGGCACTCTCCGCAGCCACGTGCCCCCGCATCGACGTTTCAACACATGAATTTGGCATCTCGGCGATCAATAATGTGCCCGAGCATTTGTTTGGAGCTTGGACCTCAAACTGTACGCCATTAGAGGAACGGGTTTGTCAGAAAGAATTGATTTTCTGTTCAGGGTTCCAACAAATTTACACCATATGAGAATCCTAAAGTGAAGTGGGGTCAGAGCAGCAAAGAGTTTGTTTTAGATTCAAATCAGCGTAATCAATTCAGATGTGAAAACAGATTCCAGGCTGAACTGAGAACATGTTCTACTGAGAACAGAGACCAGAATCCACTCAGATCTGATACCAGTTTTCCCATATTTTTATGCCAGATTCTACTCAGATCTGACACTTAGAATTCAGTGGTTCCGAACCCTGGTCCCTGAGGAACACCATCCTGCATGTTTTAGTTGTTTCTCTGTTTGTGATTACCAGGCTTCTGCCTGACTTAAGGAATTAATTAAACCACTGAATCGGGTGTGTTAGAGCAGGGAAACAACTAAAACTTGCAGGATGGTGTTCCTCAAGGACTAGGGTTCGGAACCACTGAATTCACTTTGCTCTGACACATGAATCTATTCAGACCTGAGACCAGATTCAACTCTGAACTGGACCAGTATTCAAGTCAAACTGAAATCAGATTCTGCTGATTAGGAACGTGCGAGCAAATTCATTACTGCCCTTTTGCCTTCAGTTGCTGGCGATAACAAGCATCAAATAACTAATTACAACTAAACATATTAGAAAATGGATATTTAAACATACGAGAGAGGTAAGAACCACGAAAATCATTAGAACTACTTGGGAAAATATCTGATTTGTGGTTTATTTGTTTTAATCAGCTTGAACTGAAACTTGTCCTGCAGGAGCCGCTCTTTGTGATTTGGCTTCAACTTCCATGTTCCATTCTTGTGTCTACTTATCAATGTGTTGATAGTTTCGATCTAACAAGTTTTCTGTCTGAAATGAGAAGTTTCTCCCTCTGATAAATTGAATAAAAACACTTTGCTGGGTGTCGCCACAGAAAATTAAACCACTTCAGAGAATTTTAGTTAAAAACTTGAACAAATGAGGCGATGCGGGGCGTGACGGAACCGTTTCAGAACTTTACAAAGTCCTCCTCACCTCCTAAAGCTCTGTCGTGTTTCTGATGTTAAACAGTTCCTGCTAAACCCAGGAAAGGAACAGCAGAAAAGCCAGGTGGACCCAAAGTTTAATACGACAAGAAACTAAAGGCAGAGCTGAAAGTTCTGTGTTAAAAAGGAGAAGACGGAACATTTTGTACAGTTCCTGAGTTAAAACTCTGAGAAGCAGCAGAACCGGAGAAGAAAATGTTCCAGAAGCTGCCAGAGGTTGTGAACCAAAACCCGACCAGTCTAGATGCCCTGGTCCAAGGCTCTCCTGCCCTCCAGTATTGCTGATGAATCAAAAAGTGTGTCAGTGATTTAAAAAAGGGCAAAATACTCGAAAGTTTACAGAAACTGAGGACGAGTTCTGGTTTAGGACGGGTCCGATGAGTTCGGCTCCTCCGTTCTGCACTTCTGAGTCATTTCCTGACAGAAATCCGTCGTCACTGTGGGGCTACAGACTTCCTCAGTGGATCCCAGAACCAGTTTCTGGTTCACCTTACCCCGACCCGGCAGCTCCAGACCCGGCTGCCTGTCACCCAGATGCTCAGAGCCCTTCCTGGTCTTGCCTAGCTGTGACCGGAGTGACCCGGCCCGGACAGAGTTCTGATCCGAACAGGCTGACGGTGACTCAGACGTCAGGTCAATACTGGTGGAGACAGGTGGAGGCTGGCCGCCCCGGACCTCCTTGCAGACCTGCTGCGAGAGGAAGGAGAGGTTCTGCCACAGCTCCGACATGCAGAGCTGCAGCTGGTTCCGCTCGCTCAGCAGCTTCTCCTTCTCCAACACCTGCATTCACGAGAAGCACAGAGTCAGGTTCTGCATGGAGGGGTGTTTGGGTCTGACGGTCACAAACAGGTTCTGACTGTCAAACGGAGTTCTGGCTTTCAATCAGGAGGTTCTGAAGTTCAACCAAAAGGTTCTGCCTTTCACTTAAGTTCTGAAGTTCAATCAAGAACGTATGGCTTTCATCTAGGAGGTTCTGGATTTAACACAGGAGGTTCTGGAGTTCAACCAGGAGGTTATTTTACTCTTGAGGTTAAGTTTCATTAAAGAGGTTCTGGAATTCAACCTGGAGGTTCTGTCTTTAACTCATGAGGTTCTCAAGTATAACCAGGAGGTTATTTTACTCTTGAGGTTCTAAGTTTTATTAAGAAGGTTCTGGAATTCAACCAGGAGGTTCTGGAGTTCAACCAGGAGGTTCTGGAGTTCAACTAGAAGGTTCTGGAGTTCAACCAGGAGGTTATTTTACGCTTGAGGTTAAGTTTCATTAAAGAGGTTCTGGAATTCAACCTGGAGGTTCTGGCTTTAACGCATGAGGTTCTCAAGTATAACCAGGAGGTTGTTTTGCACTTGAGGTTCTAAGTTTCATTAAGGAGGTTCTGGAGTTCAGCCAGGAAGTTACTCAGAAGGTTCTGAAGTTCCACCAGGTGGTTCTGGACCCTCTGTTAACTCTTATTGTATCTGTGACTCTGACAGAACGACTGAATGGAGCGTTGCAGTGTACGTTGATGCAGCTGCAATGCATTGTGGGACAGACTTGTCTCCTTTCCTAAAGGAGCCTCCAGCGTTTCCTCGAGGAGACCAGCTCTCATCATGGCTGCCACTCAGAACCATCTGTCTCACAGAAGAACCTTTCTGAGGTTTTAACCAGAACCGTGTGGTCACCTCTGGTGTTGGTGTGAGTGTGTGTTTTTAAACCGCACCAGTTTCCGGATCTCGCCCTCCAGGTTCTGGATGCAGTCCAGTTTCCTCTTACGGCAGCGTTGGGCGGCGATGCGGTTTTTGCTGCGCCGCCGGATGTCGTGGATGAACTCCAGCTGCTCCGAGGTCAGTTTGTGCATCTTCACGAGGATCTGGAAGTCGTTGCGCGGCAGGTTGGTGATCTGAGCCACGGGGAAGGGTAGCTTCACCTGAAAAGGATCGTACAGGTACAAACTTTATGGGTTCCTGAACTTAGAGAGGAATAATGTTTACAACAAACACGTACAATTATCTCAGTTAGCTTCAGATCTTTAGGAACTTTAAATTCTGTTGGTAATTTAAAAAGGTGGGCTGTAATTTGGATTTTAAAAGATAAAACCAGTGTAAACATGTCTGTTTAACTTGAGAAGGTCTCAGTGACGTCAGATGAGGCAGGTGTGTGTAATGTGGCATTACATCCAGCAGGGGGCAGTATTACACTGTTACTATTATTGTTTGGGACGTCATTTATTTGCAACCTCTACTATCAAGAGCCACTTCTGCTCCTTCTGCTAAATAAAACTTATCCAGAGTTTCAAAACCTTCTTGAAGTTTTAAATTAAGATAACAAGACTCATTTCTTAAAAGGTACTATAAACGAAACGAACAGAATAAAGCTCTGTAATTAATTACTGTAGTTTTACCTGCTAGAAAAAAGACCAAACTTCTACTTGTCTGTCTTATCGTGAAAAATAAATAATAAAGCATCTACACTCATAAACATTTTTTAAGCTGTTTTGTTGGACAAAATCTTTAATTTGCTCAGACGTTTATTAAGTTTTTCTCAAAGGCAAACCGTTACCACTATTGCATAATTCCAGTGGCTCATAATATAATGTAACTAGCTCCTAATGTTAACAATGAAGCATTTAAATTGAAGGTACATTGAGATGGTGAATATATATACTGTATATGTCTATTTTGGAGTTATAGCCCCCCCTGAATAAAACTCCACCCGCCGCCACTGGTCTACACAGCAGTAGAGAGATTTTCGTCCAATCAGAAGGTCACGGGTTCAATCCCCAGCCCTCACAACATGCTAACTGCCCTTGGGCCAGACACCAAACCCCTTCACTGCCCTTGAAACACTTATTGTCCATAAGTACTGTATACAATGTGTAAATTATATATAATAGAATGTGCTGTTTGATTGTATTGGTCAGTAAAATCAAGCGCTTTGCAGAACCTGAAGAGGTTACAGTGGTATCACAAAGGGTGGAACGTTTAATTCTTCAGCAGAAGTCGTTCGGTGTTCACATTAATTTTTCACAGAAAATGTCTTTTTTCTATTTAAAATAATTGCTGCAAAAAAAAAAGAGGAAGAAAGCCACCGTTTCCGTGGACCCTCTGAAGGGATGCTAGGTCAGTTCCTGACAAGTGGCAGGGGGAACGTGGACAGAACCACCTGCCTGCAGGGAACCGGGGTGTTCTAACTGGGTCAAGCACACAGAAACACTGAACAGATGATGTAGTGACACACTTTAAATACAACAGAACTAAAAGAAAGTTCTGATCTGCAGGACAGAAGGACGTCTACGCTGCTCTTCTTGTGATTTGTAAAGAATAAAACTATTAGGGACCAGACACAGTCAGTGTTTGGAGGAATCGGACCGTAATGCCAACACAGAGAAGATAAAGATGAAGAACCGAACTGACCTCGGGACCAGACACTCTGACACCACCTTCACTGTCGCCCTCTGAGAACGAGCCAGACTCGTCACTTGAGTTTCCACCGCTGGTACCAAAGCCCTGCTCGCTTTTGATCTTGGTGCAGTCCTGAGAGAAGACCAGTTCTCTGCTGAGGGGGGTCTGGGCCTTGACCATCTGAACCAGGCTGCGAGGCGGTTGTTCGAACGAGGCGAGGTCAAAGGGCAGGCTGGACAGCGAGCTACCGTTGGCTGCTTCATCTGGATAAGAGACTGAGGAGCAGGAGCTGGAAGACAGGGTTCTGGGTTCGGATGGTACTGGAGAGCTAATGGCAATGGGGCATCTGGTGAGAGATGTTGGACCAGAGGGTGGAGTCTCCTCCTGCATCAGGGTGGACACTTCGTCTTGAATCTTCTCGTCCACGTAAGAATGAGCCGAGGAGCGTCGATCACCGGCGGAGAAAATGACGGAGCATCTGTCGAGCTCCCCTTCCTGCTGGCAGGAGGAGGTCTTGGACCAGTCCATGTCCCTGTTGTTGGTCTTGAAGTCAGCCTGACTCAGGAAGTCCCCCTTACTCCACAGCCGGTTGGTGATCAGCTCCTGAATGCTTCTGCTGGACATGTTGTTGAGATCTAGACCACCTTGCTGAAGGTATGAACGCAGGCAGGACGAGGCTAAATCCTGGCCGGCAGAGGGCTCAGCTAGCACCGGAACGCCTTCCACCTCCAGCTCCATCTCCAGAACCTCCTCTGTGCCAAACTCTGGGTTGGAGCCATTCCTCTCATGTGCTGCACCCTCAAACAGAAAGGGTTCCTCCTTGATCCTGGAGGGGGTGAGGAGCGTCTGGGAAGCAGCACTGTCGTCTTCTGGTTCTGAGCTGTCCAATGACGGGTTGGCATGTTGAGTCTCTTCATTGCGTTTGTCGTCACAGACCTGGTACTTCCAGGATTCGGGACACCCTGGAGGCTCAATGGGCAGTGGTGCGTCGTCGCCGTCACTGGACTGCTGCTTCATCTCTGAAGAGCAAACGTCCTCAGAAAAGACAGTGTCCTCATCACTGTATTCCACCTCACCGTTGTTGACGTCTTGTCCGTCGTTCTGTAGCTGAGCTTGGAGAAACTGAAAGCAGGAATCCTCCAAATTGTGCACGCCAAGTAGGTCCGCGCACAGCATGACCTCGTGGATGTTTTCTCTGTTCAACACCAGCTTGGCCGTGTAGGCAAACTGAAGCAGCGGAGCAAAACCTCTGGCTGTCACCTGCAGAGAAAACAAGTTTCAACATCAGCCATGATGGACGTGATAACTCAGAACAAATCGTTTATTTACAGGTGAATAAATTCTGCATCATCAACCTTAAAATCAGAGCAGATGGTTTATAATCACATTGTTTCTGCTAAGGATGAGAAATGATTTGGAGATATTTGAAGTCTACTGACAAACACAATTTCAAAAATTGGTCTGTTGTGTAAAATGTAAATAAAAACTGAACGAAGCATCCCCTCTTTTTTTAACAACAGTCTGTAAAGGTCCAGGACCTGAGGACACCAGTTGGTGGAGGTTTTGGAGGGAACGGTGTCCAATTCTGGTCTGATGGAGGACTCTAGCTGTCCTTCAGTCCTGGAGCTTCTCTGCTGGGTGGAGCAGATGTTCTAAAATGTATGGATACTTTTCTGCATTGATGGAGTCTTTCCAGATGTGTAAGTTGCTCATGTTGGAGGTACTAATGCACCCCCATACCATCAGAGAGGCAAAATTTTGACCTGTGTGCTGCAAGCTGGGTGGTTCCTCTACTCTAGGGCATGATGTTGGTGGTTTCCAAACAGAACTTCAGATTTGGACCGTCTGACCACAGAACAGTTCTGCACTTTGCCTCAGTCCATTTGAAATGAGCTCTGGTCCAGAGAAGACGGTTCTGGATGGTGTTCCCATCTGGCTTCTTCTTTGCCTGATAGAGCTTTAATCAGCATTTGCTGACGGCAGGGTGAACTGTGTTTACAGACAAGGATCTGTGGAAGTGTTCCTGAGCCCAGAACAGAACCAGGCCTGTTTTAATGCAGTGGCCCCTGAGGGCCCAAAGATCACGACCATCCATTATCGACCTTCAGCCTCGTCCTTTGAGCTTAGATTTCTACAGCATCTTCTAATCTGTCGATGAGATTAGGAACTGAAGAAGATGGAGATTAAAAGTCTTTCATTGAGAAACTTTATTCTGAAATTGCTCCACTAGTTTTAGACATACTGCTGAACCTCTGCCCGTCTTTACTTCTGACAGATCCAGACTTTCTAAAGGCCCTTATGCACTGACTTCTCAGTCTAAAGCTCATCATGAATCATTCATATAAACTCAAAACCATTAACATGTTCTCTGTGTTTCACTGTGAATAAAATGAGTTCATGAGATTTATTGTTTTCTGTTTTTAATTTACGTTTCACACATCCCAACACTTTTGAGACTCTTTTTAGAACTGGGCAACCAGTACTACAATTTGTTTGTTTGTTTGTCTGTTTGTTTGTTTGTTTTCCGGTGGTAGTTTGCAGTGACACAAAGAACATGGAGCATGTCAGGGTTCTGTAAAACTCGCTATATCGATCTTACTGAGCAGACACGAGAGCCACTTTGTCTTATGTTTTATATGATGGTGAGATACTTTATATAAAATTAAAACATATAATAATAAGATCCTTCACATATATAACCTCAGTTTAAACACAAGCCTTTCTCTGTTACATACTGCGTTTGCACATTAAAACATTACTGTGCACACTATATTTTACATAGGGAATACTTTATTACTAATATTTTCATTTTAGGTTTTGCATATATTCTTACATTATTTTACATTCTATTCAGAATTCCACTCGTTTTATTCTATTTTACCTTCTTTGTTTCCACGTCACAAGTTACAGAAAAATGCAGTTTATTGTGACGTGTGACGTTGTCTCACTGCCTTCATCACTCCTCCTCCTCCTCAGCTTCCTCCTCCTTCCCTGCAGTCAGCAGTGTGTGTGCACACGTGTGTGTCTGTGTGTAACCTAAGTGTGTTTGTGCTAACATCAGCAACCTGCATGTTTCCAGACACACAAACAGCAGCTCTGCAGGATCCACTGCAGCAGTTTCAGTCCTGCATGTTTTCCTGCCTCCGTGTGAACTCAAACACACAGGTGAGCTGCAGGGTGATGTCACTGCCCTCGCAGATTGTTGCAACCTCCAGAAGACGACGTTCTGAATTTCAACAGACGATTGGCGACATGACGAAACTGTAAAACATCCCTGAACCTAATCATTAAAGTCGTTAAGCATTCCCAGAAGGCAAGCGGATTAGCTGCCACTTTGCTTGCCGCGTTTTTAAGCAAAGCTCTTGCACAATCTGTTAGCGCTCAAATTAACTGTTGGGGATGACTGCCAGCTACTACCACACCAAATCTGAGCTCGATATCTGTAAAATTGACTGACTTGCAGCCAATCTTGTGTTTGGTAAGAGTGGATGGGATTGTCAAATCCCTTTATTAATTATATTTAACAGCAAATGAAACCTAATAAAATCAGAGAAATATTCAAGCTACAACGTGTTGGCTCTTGAAACTGATCTCTAACAGTGGAAAGGTCCAATTCCATCAGCAGAACTCCAAATTTATATCCTGTTGCCAAAGTAAAAATAATAAATGCTAACATTTTATCCTAAAGCCATGAAACCCGAACGCTTTGTTCAGTCCAGTTTCACCGATTCTGCACCCAGAACAGCCGAGCTGCGGTGCTGTGTCCTTCTGGTTCTGAGACTCATTAATCAATATGACAGATTTGGGTCGAACGGCAGATGAAGATCAGCTTCAGAGCTGAAAAACTGGGCCATCATCATCATTACAGACCACCACCACCCCGAGTCCTGCTCATTGGGGCACAAACACCCTGCAGAGTCCAGCTGTGGAACGCCAGGTCCAGTTCTAACAGGTCCGAACTGAAACCGAGCTAAAAGGAGCAAAAGGATCAACAGCTCATTTCTGATCAGCACAAGAGACTGAAGTTCTGGCCCAGTTCTGGTAACAGTTCCAGTCTTTCAGAACAAAACGGTGAACAAATACAGTGACCTGAATGTTGTGAGTGAGGGTCATTGTGCCCTGTACCTTGTCTGGCAGGCTGATGATAGGTTCGGTGTCTCCTGGTGACCCTCCATGGCCCAGCAGAACCTGCAGAAAGTAGCTGCTGCTGGCGGCAAGGACGGCCCGGTGCGCCCGAACCTCTCGGCCCTCCACCAGCAGGGTGACATCACAGAGGATGCCCCGCCTCCGCTGCTCCTCCAGGCTCAGCAGCACGTTGGCGCAGTGCACCTTGGACTCGTACACATACACGGGCGCCGCCGCCTCCCCATCCTGCCGCTCTGACATCACTTCCTTCAACGCCCTGTGCAGAGGACAGGAGGGGGACAGAGTCAGGTCTCACCTGGACTCAGACTGGGCCAACTCCACACAAAACACACAAAACTAATAGCTTTGGTAGCCATCTTGAACTGTGTTGACTCCAAAAGTAATTAGGCTGTAGGTGTACATCCAGGGATTACTTTCAGAGAGATTTATTCAAATCTGCTGGTTTGTGAGATATTTTGCTAACAAACAAATTACCACACACACAGACTCTGACAAAAACATTATCACCCGCCTTGTGACGGCATAGATATGGTTATTAACTCAAGCTCTTCAGTCCACAGTATTCAATGTGTAAATGTGTGTAAAATAAGATGGAAATGACCGAGGTAACTATCCAGGAGCATAAGAATAAAGATGATGGACAGAACCAGAACCAGAACTTCAGAGCCCCGCTCTCAGACTGCAGGCAGAGCTCCTTCTTTATGATTCATTAATCCTCCACAGACAGCTGAGAGAGCACTCCGTCTGTCTGGGGTTTGTATGTGTGTGTGTGTGTGTGGGGGGGGGGGGGGGTGTCGTAGCAGCAGCTCTGTGCTGAGTCAGATTTGCTCAACCAATCAGAGGGAACCACCACTATCATCTTCATCATCTTCCTCCCTGTGTAGATGATCTGCTGCCTTCCTCGGGCCGTCAGTTTACTTTATTGAAATTGAAGCAGCAGAATAACAAACTTTACACCTTCACTGATAATCACATGACTGGTCACATGACCAATCAGCTGTTTCTGTTTCCATCAAAACTGTTGGCTTTTGATTCACAAAACGATGTTGACAAAGGCTTCTGACCCCATCTATTTCTATTAGGAATGTGGCAAAGGTTAATTTTTAGTGCTATAATTAAAAATCTGGACTTCCCTCAATATGTTTGTTTTATTGTGTTTGGTTTATAAGCAGTAGATTGATCTTTAGTCTGTACGTAGACTTGGAGATATCCAAAACCTCAAGGTTACACTTTGTATGTGGCACTTTTGCGCCACCAGAGGGCATCACTTGTGGTGAGTTGAATGTTTGTGAGTGTGCACAGAGAGAGAAGAAGAAAACAAACTCCACTGTCCAAGCTGTATGCCATGTGATGAGGCAACACCTGAAAATCACCGGACGTCCTCCTTCTTCTTGGAAGGGCAACACGAACTTCGCTGATAACTAAATTAGCATTTTAAAAAGTAAGTTGATATTTGGAGGTATTTAAAGGCTCCCACATGGTGTTTCATGGGTGCTTTTTTTAATATCCTGTTTCATAGAATAAACTCAGGCAGTACTTACTGACAATGCAGTAAAAATAATTTCTGTAGTCGTCTCTCTGTGTTTTATCTGCACTAAAACAGCTTGTTTAAAAGTTTTGGATCAAACAGTAATCAGATGATTTCTGCGTGTGTTCGTTCTCTGAATTAATTAATAAATGTTTATTTAAAATTGCTTATACGTGCGTCAGCATGCAGAGTCAATGAATGATTGACAGCACCGTCCGAGGCACACATCTCCCTTTGTGAGAGTTTGATAATCAGATTATTTTTATCCTGGCTGTTTGTTTATATATATATAGGCAAGTCTGCCCGCTAATTGTATGATTTAACCCTGATTTAAATTAGATTTTCTATGCCTCAGCATGCAGAGAGACAATGATTGGTTGGCAGCACAGTTTGAGGCACACATCTCCCTTTGTGACAGCTTGCTATTCAGATTATTTTTATTCCAGCTGTTCATTTATATAAATATAGGCAAGTTTGTTCTCTAAATAAGTGGATAAAACTTGATTCAAGATAGATTTTAAGTGCATCAGTGTGCAGCGAGACGATATTTGGTTGGCAGTGCAATTCTATGCACATGTCTCCCTTTGTGAGAAATTTGAAAATGTGATGGGTGCAAAAAAAATCTCCTGATCAAAAAAAGCCGTACAGTCCTTTGTTGAATCTTCTTCTGCTTTCTCCTCTTGCAGTTATGAACATGAGGTTTTCTAACCGACATGTTGCGGGTGGTTTCATCATCCTGTGGGCTGTTTTAGTCCGTGCGTGTCTGAGGTAAATAAAGTCCAGCAGCGCACAGACCATCTGACCAGCTGCTGCAGGTTGGACAGCAGATTTCTAGTATAACATTCAATGTAACTCAACTGGATGAATACAAAATGTCTTTTAAGCTTAAACTGAAAAGATCTTCTATGCACACCCAATGAAAAATGGAGAAACGTGGAGAATTAACACTAAAAAGGAGAATTCTGTAAAGGAATGCTTATACATTGCAATATGCATTCCTTTCAAGAAAGCTGGACCTTCAGTTTCTTCCTGACATCAGCTGGTTGAACTTCTCCAAACAAGCAGATGTGAAACGACATCCATTAGCTGCTCCTCCCTCAGGAGACCCTGACGAACATCTCACCATCACATCTCTCTCCTCTTTGTTCAGAGAAGCTCTCTCAGAGATCCTGATACCTAAACTCTCTGGTCACTGAGAACCTTCATCCTTCCGACAGCTCCGCAGAGGAGTCCGGACTGACCCGACGGGTTCGGTTTCACCTCGGTGTTGGGTGGATTCAGCTCGGAAAACCCAATCTGACATCCCTTCAGGCTGCTCAGGAAGCAGAAAGTGGATCGGGCTCGTCGGGTTTCAGGAGAAAGTGACGCAAAATGAGTCGCGGTTGGTGTTCTGAAGAAATTTGAACAGAAGTGTGTCAACCCTGTCTGTTAGCAAAATATCTCAAGCTACAGGCCAAATTGTAGCGACACTCTCAGATAGGAATGACTGGATGCATGTTTGGAGTCAACCAGCATATTAACACAAACATGGTTATAACTCTCAATTTTACAGACATACACCACATACTCTAGTGCTAACAAATGAGATATCATAATATCACATGAGACTGTGCACAATAGTGTAATGATATTTTCAAGGTTTGACAAAACAGCTTCAGCTCCATAATCTCTCAACGTGTGATCTCAGTCTGAACCTCGGGCATGAACGGCGGCGGGCGATATGCATTCCTTTAGTTGCATTTGTAATTATTGAGTCTCTGACTGCAGCTCTGCAGGTTAGTCTCTGCTCACCTCGTGCTACAAAAGCTCTCCTGCAACAGATGCAGCATGAAATCAGTGAAGTCTCGCATCAGGTGAGGATTTTATTTTGTACCAGTTTCTGGAGGAAAACCTGAAAAAGTGCATCTGCTCACAATAAACACAAACTTTAGTGTAATTTACACACACACACACGCAGCTCTAAACATTCATGTCAAAGAGGAAAGTTTCACATGTGTCAAACTCAAGGCCCGAGTGCCGAGCATGGCCCTTGTTGCCATCTTATCCGGCCCCCAAGGTGTTATTTTAACAGGAAACTATTTTCATTGTTTCTCATTTTATTTAAAAACTGAGCAGACTTTGTTTAGTGCCGACCTCATGACAGTTGGCCAGTTTGAAAAGTTCCTTAATCTTTGCTTTTCACATAGAAAAAGCAGCAGAAAACATCAAACGAGAGCGATGAAACTCTTGTTGAGGAACCTGCAACCAAGAAAAGATGTTGGGTATCTGACGGGAGTTAATGCATTGAATGAAATTTGCCCTTGGTTTGAAAAACATTTTCCAATTTGGGCCGCCTTTTGTAACGGAGTTTGACACCCCTGAATAAAACAAAATAAATAAAACAGGAAGTTCTCTTTGAGGAAGCTTCCTGTCAGTTTAAAATCTGAAAATTACAGAATATTTTATTTTTTTCCAGACAGTATGGAAACTTGTTTATGACACGTTTAAGCAGAAGAAGGGAGCAGCCGTAAGCAGAAAAATGAATAAATTAAAATAAAATTCAGAAGATGTTAAATCTATGAGATGCTAAGTCATATATTTTGAGATGCCTACTGATTATGACTTTTTTTTCACAAGTGGCAGAAATGGACATCCATACCTGAGTGGTTTGCTTATATGGAAACCCATTTCTGCCACTAATGATCCAGGAAATAATTATTCCACCTAGGGATGCATGATATTGGATTTTTGGCCGATATTTAATATATGTTCCTTTGTCAGAACATAACCCTCTTATTTAGGCTTATTTGCTACAAAAAATGTGCAACAGCTGTAAGAGCTGGTGACATATATTCAGTAACAGCCATATGATATGCATAGCACTTTAACTTACATTAAATGAAAAGTGTTAAATATTATTTATTAGCATTAGTCACCTGTGATGCTGTCTCACTTGTGGAGGCTTGTTCCAGGTTCCTATAGCTGCAGTGTGGGATCCTCTGCACTCCTGTGCATGAAGGACAGCCTTTTTAAGATCAAAGTTTTCTCAATGATGTGGGAAATGACGGCTCAAAACTAAGGTAACGTTATGTCGGAAAAATATCTCAGACTGGGGACGATGTAGCGAGGCTCAACGTAGTCCATATAAATCTTTGGAATCCGACATCCTCACCAACGAGAAATAAAACTTCCACACCGTCGACATTTTGAATTTTCCTCTCCGCCATGAGATCAGGTAGGCGCATGTGATGTCATCACGTTGTGCTGCAACGTCATCACGTTGTGCTGCCGCTGCAGGCAAAAACGGCGCCTTTTATATCGGCAAGTTATTTTAATGGAATGTCCGATATTGAACTTTAACGCTAATATCAGCCGATACCATGCCAATAATACCGTGCATCCCTAATTCCGTCGCTGGTCAACTCCAGTGTTTTCAGTCAGCTTTAGGACACAGAATATGGAAATGAGTAGGCCTGTTGCAATAAATCAATTAATCGCATGATAAATGAAAATTATCAACCTCATTTTCATTCATCAGCTTTATCTTCGTGTCTCTCTCTTTCTACTGAAGACACTGGATGACAAAAAGCTCAACTCTGATGCTCTTCACTGACTCCTCCCTTTCTCTTTAAAATCCATTTTAACGATCCAAAATCGTGTTTTTGGATCGTTAAAAGCAGCTAAGCTACGAGCTAAGCAAACAAGCCGACCTCAGGAAAAAACTTCCATCTTGTCGAAGCTCCAAAATTCACAATTGAAACCCGTGACTTTGTCTAAAAAGTTTTTCTCTGCAAAAACAAGCTGAGAACTTGTTTACTGATTTTTTTTTATTAAAAGCTTTGTGGGAAAAATGCTATGCTAAAGAGCTCAAACCACACAGAGCGTCCGCCATTTTGAGAACCAAAGAGAGACAGCCCATGTCTCGTCAAGGGGCCTCCCTCCCATTTTTCTTAGAGACACGCTGCTCGCTCCCTCACTATCCATCCTTCAGTTCAAACAATCTTACACTGCCATCCGGGTGTCGAAAAAAGGTACTACACACAAAATAATTAACATTTCTTCGTAAATTTGAGAATAATTACTAATTATTGTCAAATTTCAAACAATATTATCGTTTATCACAATAATTTCTGAGACAATTAATCGCCCAGTAAAATTTGTTATCGTGACAGGCCTAGAAATGAGCGTTCTGAATAGACCCTGATCTAATCTGGGTCCAGCCTGGACGTCGAGCTGTGATTGGGTCAATGTGCCCAGGTGAGAACATTCTCGCAGTTGTTTCATTGCAAAGTCTTATAGACGGGACAAAAAAAATTTAAAAAGTAATTAATCAAATTCACCTGATTTTGTTCTTATACTGATGTGTCATGAATACAAAAATGAAAGATATAAGTATATTACGAATGAAATGAAGGTAAAATTTGTGACCAGATGCAAAGAAGTTATTGAAAACAGTTCACACTTTAATATTATCAGTTTAGTACAAGCTGGGCTCTGATTATAGTGCTCCCCCGCCCTGCTTCATCCTTGATATTTATTCCTGACCGTCGTCTTACTCGTTCTTTCTTTTTCTGTCACGTTCAGCAGCAGATTCTCCAAAACTTCGACTGTTCATTCTTGTTTCACAGCCTAAACCAGTCGTGTGACTCAAGCTTCCACATGCAGATTCAGCCAAATGCTTTGTTTACGTTGAGTGCGTACCCCCATTTCTAAACTGCACATCAACATATCTGTAAAAGTGCCGGTGTAAACTCCTTCAAACGACACATGCGGTTCAGGATCTTGTTTTTAATGTTTGACTTCATGTTTGGCAGTGCGCGCCTTTACAGCAGTTTTCAGACACTTTAAGCTGGAGGTGTTTCCAGAAGATGGAGGAGTTTCTGCTCAGAGGAGGAAACAAAGAGCTCATGCGTTCACGGCAATGTGCGACACGCGCACGCCGCCACATCCGAGTCTTTAAATAGGAAGCTTGATGCTGAGCAGAGATCTGGATGGTTCTGCGGTTCTGGTTCCGTCAGACCTGCAGCCGCGCTCGGCGCTTTGTTCCCGGGCTGAGGGTGGAGCGGCGGCCGCCTCCTTTGTCCTCACGCCCGTGAGCAGAGGTTCGAGTCCCGGCTGAAAGAGACCAAGTCTACCGCGTTTACTGGACTCGCAGCTGCCATGCACGGTGACCGTAAGCGCGTGCACAGACCCGTGCCAGGCTCGGGGACGTAAACACACCGACCCACACGCAGCAGCAGCGGCGCCGAACCGCCTCACCCTCTCCAGAACACATGCAGCTGCAGCTGCCGCTCCTCAAACTCACCGGATCCTCCAGAGAGTCCTCGGTCCCGGTCCGGTCACTGGTCCCAGCCGGTCTGCATGGTGGTCCCGAACAGGGGGTCCAACGGTGCTGATGAAGCTCCTTTACTGGTCCAGGAGCTGCAGCACTGTTGACATCGGCTTAATGACGTCATGCTGCCCCCTCATTCACAACAACACCCCCCATCCCACACCCCACCCCCACCCTCCACTGAGCTCATCTCTGACTGAAGCGCAAAACGAGATTAAAGAGACAGTTCAGATATTTTTTTTACGTGAGATTCTGTGAAGCTATGAGCAGTCAGTGTCTGACCTGCAGCAGACAGCACTTTGAACTTTCACTTCGGGGGTTTGGTTCTGATCCAACTGATGAGCCAACAGCTTGTCCGAGCAGAACCGAGACAGACTGTTTAAAGTGACGTGTGCAGAGGAGGTAAACTGATGCTGTTGCCGTGGAAACACCACTCGATTCTGTGATAATCTGTGTTGCTGTGAATCCCATTTTATTCCCACTGCTGTTGGGCGGTGATAAACGCGGCGCTCTCCAGATTACAGATCTGTGACTTTCAAACTTTTCTCACGCAGCTGAAAAAAAAAAATCTTTTAAAACCAGAATAGACATTTCCTGCAATTCTGAAACTGTCTTGGACTGATCAGATGGGATTAAGTCGGATTAAACAGAAACTTTATTCTCTAGCATAGCATTATATTTTGTGCACTTTATCTGTAATTGAATTTACTTAATTTTAGATGAAAAACCAGAATGCTTGTTTTAAACAAATAAAAACTTTTACTGTCTCACCCTTTTTACGCTCTAGTAGTTTCATGAGTAAGACGTAAAAACCATTAAATAAACAGATTATTAGTTGATACTGAGCTTCTAAGTAATCTGCATACAGTGTGTTTATTAGCTGTTAAAATTAGACTACTAAGTGTTTTTAAACTCTGAATGTACTGTGTAGTTTCGATTTGTGTCCAGCAGAGGGCAGTATATCCCACTCAACTGTTGTGGAAACGAAATAAGAAAATTAATCTTAATCTATTGTGATCCTGTTTATATTTATTATTGGCAGTTTCTATCCCTATTCTGTACCTTTTTTAGCTTCTGTCCTGTTCCACAATGTTTGTGCTATTTCAACAAATCATATATCAAATGGACTTCTTACACCACGTGTACCACATACATAACTTTCAGGACAATCCTGCTATGACTTTTTTTGGTACATCTTTAGCTTTTTGAAATGTTTAGCCTTTTCTGCCATGTTTTTCTCATCAGAAATGAATTGAGCTCATTTTACATCCTTCAAATCTTTAGCTCTGTTTACCTTTTACTGCTCCTTTCACATTTTGTTCTGGTTCAGCTTCTTTGATTCCTTGTCCTAATTTAGACATTTTTTCAGCTACTTTCAGCTGTTTTTCCAGCTCTTTTGTGCTCCTTTCAGATTATTTCTGCTAACTAGAAAATGTTTGTGCTTCTTCTAACTTCTTTCAACTTGTCAGCTTGTTATGCTCCTTTCAGCTTATTTCTGCAAGTTTCAGCTTTTTCTGCTATTTCAGCTACTATGTAGCTGTTTTTATGCAAATTTTAGCCATTTCATCTAATTCCACATTTTTTGCATTCATTTAAACATTTTTCAGCCTATCTCAGCAAAAAACGTGCTGTCCACTTCCTTCTGGTAATTTAAGCTTTTTTTCTGCTTTTTTAGCTACCTTCCAGGTGTTTTTGTTTTATTTATTTTTTGCTACCTCCAGCTTTTTTCAGATACTTTCCACTTTTTGTGTTCATTTCTTCTTTCAGCCTTATTGAGCACATTTCTGCTCTCCCCATTCTTCTGCTAATTTAAGCTTCTTTCTGCAATTACAGCAATTTTTTGCTAATTTCAGCTTTTTATAGCTAATTTACTAATTTTTTCTAATTTCTGCTTATTTAAACCAAATTCAGCAAATAAGTGTTCTTTCTGCTTTCATCTTCTAATTTAGGCTTGTTCTTCCATTTCAGCAAACAATTTCTCTAGATTAATCTTTAGTTATATATATATATATATATATATATATATATATATATATATATATAT